TAATCCGCTATTTGGCTGGCCCCAAAAAGTTGATTTCATATAAATAAAAAATACAACTGTGGTTCACATAGCCTTGGATGGGCCATGGAAGCAGGACAGGGAGAGATGAAGGGTGAAAAAAAGAGCTTCCAGAGCTGTATCGTAAGAGGCAGGTTTACGGCCGCCGACAACAATTAACTTAGTATTTCAAAGTACGTAGCAGACAGAGTTTTAAGTATACCTTAAAGAAATTATAAATATCAGAGGTAAAAGATATGCTAGCTACTCTGTGATAGGTTATGGCCCTAGTAAGAATTGCTGAATTCTCATGGTGGTCATCTAATATGGCTGAAGCCCTTAAAACAACAGCTCATCTTCCCAGAGACCACCTCCGCCCTTCTTCTCCAACTCAGCCCAGGGTACAGTTTCCTTTCACCTTTCTCTCCACCTCAGGGAAGGCCCCAATCAGCTCCTCAGGTCTATCTAAACTTCCGCCTCAAGCCCCACCTCTGGCAAAGTCCATAGAAGCCTCAGCCTCCCTTTGTTCCAATCCAGAGAATTCCTTATCTTCCCAAATTCTCTCTGTGTCCTCTAAGATAATGAAGTCCCTTTTCCTTTATAATAAAGCCCCTTTCCCCTTTCCTTCTGCGTGTTTCTCTGCTGCGACACCATTAAAACCTATCACTCTGATCATTAAACAAGCATGCATGCTGAAATGTTACACTGTACCTTATATATGCAAGGTTATTAATTACTATTAATAAGGTGGTTAATGTAAAAAATCTTTTTAAAATTATAAAATTCAAAGCAAATTGTGTCTATTTGAACATGTGAAGACTTTTATTATCCCCTAAACAATACATTAGTCACTTTGCATCATTGTGTTTGATAACAGGAGCACTAGAGATGACTCAAAATGCAAAGGAAGTTGCAGGAAGTCCTATACTATTTACATATGTGATTTGAGCACCTGTGGATTTTGGTACCCATGTGAGTCCTGGAAGTCATTGTCGGTGGATTTTATGAGAAATTAAACTACAAGATTTCTCAGCATCTTTAATAGCAAGCTTATGTTCATCACATCTCTCCAACTCAGTGATTCAGTAAGCGCCATCTTCCAGATTCCCTGGACCACAACAGTTTTACTTTTTTTAGCAAAACATCTTATGGGGCTCTGAAAGTACTAAGCCAAGTGTTACTTTGTCCTAAAACAGTGTCTTGGACACACACTAAACTTTCAAAGGTCTTAAATACCTGGAAGACAGAGCCAGTTGGAATCTCAGCAGAACTTGGAAGTTATAAAATACCCAAGAAGCAGTGGGACTTGCCTTCATTTTCCACCCTTATTCTTGTTTTTTGGCATCCACACTATGGTCATTGACCACATACCTATTACCACTTGTTATCCAAGACTTGCCTGCCTCTGCCTCTTGGCTGGGCTTGTCCTTAGTGCTTCTGCTTAAAATGACCCTTTCCCCATCTTCCTGTGCTGGAAGCCGCTTGTCCTTATTGGAGATAGTCTCTAGGCAGCTTCTACCATGAAACTGCTCTGAATTCTCCTTAATGCTTCCTTCCTCAACATGTCCACAGCCTCTCCTGATGGACCTGCTTTATTGATGTAGCTCTTCTGTCTTTCATTGTATGGATAAAGATTTCAGAGTTGGGCTAGTGTGGTCCCCATGTGCCTGACCCATCATGGCACAATAGGGACAAGGCACAGGAAGGTGCATCTGCAGCACCTACATGGCAGACTTCCCTCCCTGCCAACTGAATAATTCTGCACAAGCCACCTCTACATCTCGAAGCAGCCATCCTGTGTCAGCGTGGACACCACCCTCATCAGTGCCACGTGTACCTGCAGTACTACGTGTTGGGAGGAGGTGAGGTACAAGGCTGCCGGTGGAGAGGTCTTGAAGAAGTAGGCTTAAGAGAAGAATGATGTGTAATTAACAGAGTGGTAGTTGGAGGTAAATAGGCCTTTAAAATACTTAAACAGTCTAAGTGTGTCCCCTCTAATCTTGTTTACATGGTCAATTTGCTTAACCAACTCTTCCTTCACCACTTGCCCTGTCTTAATGATCACAGTTCTGAACTAGTTGGGTCCCAGGGAAGTAGGTGGCACTGCACTACTGCAAAGGAGGAGGAGGGAGAGGAGGAGGTATAACATGCTTCAGTGGGCCTTATTCACCTACGTCCCCTTTGAGTAGGAGGGGTGGAGTCTAGACAGTGAAAGACGAAGGAAGGCTGCAACTCACGGCCAGAATGCCACTTTTCCTCGAGACCCAAGCAAGAGCTTCTGAAAAACAGTGTTACTTCCCCTAGGACTGAGTTGGTCCTCTGGCTCTGCCTGTGACGGCACACAGAGAGGGACGCACAGGTCCCGTGGGGCTCAGTCTGGTGAGCACAGAGGCCGGGTAGAGTGGGCTGGCAGGAGGAGGTCTCTAGCGATCTGGCTTTGACTTCTGCAGTCACACTTCATGGTGACCTGTGCTCTAAAGTAAGGACATCGGCACAAGGCAGGACTGCCAAAAAGACGCCTTTTCTCCTTCTTTTGATCAGGCTCAATAGCTCAGTAGTCAGAGCGTGTCCTCAACCAGCACCTGTCTGGCTGGAAGAGGAGGGCAGGGTTAACCACATCAGCAAATCCTGCACAAAGTGTGTCTCCGGGTCAGACCCCTAGCCCTCCAGGTCCTGCATCTCCTGTTAGAACAACATGGGGGCGGAGACCCAGCCGCTCTTGGCAGGCAGGAACAGTCTCTGTAAGAGTGGTTGAGTCAGTATTGGGTTGGATAAGCTCTGAGACACAAAACCACCCGTCTTGTGTGTGTCTGAAGGCTTTGCATGGCCACCTATAACACAAACCCTCCCCATACTAGATCTGCTAAAATCTAGGCAGCTCCATGGCCTGGGCTCCGCCCCTGTCTTCAGCCCCTCCCGCTGCCCGCTAGGTCTGTGAGGCAGGATGACACTCAGCCTCACTGTAGGTAATGATACAACTTCCAGTGGCAGGGACAACCCTTCAGCTGTTAAATACAAACCCCATTATATCTTATTCCTGAGGCAAATCAGCATTTAGCCAGCATTGAAACTGGCAGCTCAAGAATGGTAAATTTCTGCTTCCCATATGCATTCCGATTGCATAATACAGTTCCAAGTCATGGGCGCTTAAGCATTCCACCCCTCGGGTGCCAGCTGGAGGTGTAGTGAGGGTGACAAAGCATTATTTTTAGCTGAAAAGAATCAGCCTGGCATGAATGGGTGTCTCCCCTTTGTGGGGGCGGGCATTTCCCACCACAAATAACACTGCCTGAGATCTAGTTCCACAGACAGAGTATTTCTTTCGTTCCTCAAAGAAGATGTTTTGGCCACTATATGTGACAGGGAGGGCATCAGCATGCTTTGCTGGGCATTCGTGGCTTTGCTGTGCCAAATGTGCCAGCAGGTTTCTGAGAAATATTTTGAAAAGCCCTACAGGAGGCCGAGAGGCAGAGTGAAACAATGCTCATGCTCTGAGGTCACACGGTGCAGGTTCTATTTCGGCCCCATCCTTTGCAGGGTGGCCTTGGGCAAACTGAGCTTCAACTTGCCCTTCTATACAATGGGAACAGTGCTGACATCATATGGTCCCTGAGAGAATCAGAGTGTGCTTACGTCAGCGCAAAGCACCTGGCACAATCTGCACATGAGTGCAAACATGCATGAAACAGACCAGGAAGCCCTGGAGGTGTCCCTGCTCTCCTGACCCCTCCTTGGCCTCCGTGGCTGACCTCTCTGTGCAACCTGCCAGCCATGGGGAAGAGGTAGCATGGGGAGCGGTGTAGCGCAGGGGACAAGGGCAGAGACCCCGTGGGGGTTTGCGTTCCTTCCACTGCTGGCGGGCACTGGCGGTGGCAGCTACTTGCCCAACGCTTCCTTTCATCATTTGTAGGGCGGTGATCCTGAAAGCTTTCCTACTTCATCAGGAAGTTATGAGGATCAAATCAGATAAAGCCAGCTCCGTGCTTAACACAGAACCTGACACTCTTCAGTGGCTGATTATTTTATTGATCTTATTTCCCTGCTGGTTGCTTTGGGCATCTGGGATGTGTCCTCTTTACCCCCTGTGAGTAATAAAGTGTTTGGGAGATGGAAAGAAGAGATGAAATTTTGAGCCTGACTTTGAAGCTATCTTCTGCCACACACCAGCTGGTAGGAGTCAGGCTCCCCCTCCAACCTTTAGTTTTCTCATCTCCAAGATAGAGGCTGTGAGTGGCTCTGCACAGTCCTGCTCTAGGGGAAAGCTGGAGGTTGTGCAGCCCAACATTGGGGCCAGGCCAAGTACCTGAGAGGAATGGGAGGTTTCTGTGGAACTGTTTTTAAGTCATGGATTACTTTCATTTTTCACAGGTGGAATAGAAAGGTCACCCAAGGCCTGATGAGTCTTTTACTTCCCACATTTTGTGATTAGCAATGAGCTCGAACAAGCTCATCATTAATCAGAACATGCTAGTGTTGTCTTAGGGTTTCTGGTCCTTCGATGTAGGATGTCTTAACCTTGAGGCTCTCGCTGGGCTGCAGCCAGCCCCTCAGTCGTCAGCCTTGCATGCCTTTACTCTGGTGTAGGGACAGGAAGGGAAGCTGAGTAACCTGCTTTAGGAGAACTCCAGTCCCAGGAGAAACCCTACATGGAGAATGTGCTAGAGTTCTCTTGCTTGAACTTGCCAGACAGAAGACTAGTCTGATAATGGTGACAGCAGGAGAGGAGAGAAGACTAAAGAGACACAATGGCCTAAGTAAATTGGGATGTCAAGGCAAATTTCAGGCTTGGACAGAACTGCTGAATTTGGAAAGAGAATTCCTCAGACAGCTTCAGCAGAGCAGGGGTGAATACGACCAGTGGCCAGACCAAGGAAAGGGAACACAGAGGAACAGAGAAGTGGGTAGGGCCAAGGTTGACCCCCTTAGCAGTAGTGTGCTCCTGCTTCAGACCCTGGGAGGGGAAGTTCCCAAGACCTGGGTAGGCTGTTCACCCTGGAGCTTACCTTGTAGGCTGTTCCCATTGGTGCTGGTGCAGGTCGGAGGTGGGGAGGTCTGGGGTCTGACGACAGGTGCGAACGCACTCTTCTGTTTCACGGCCGAGACCATGTTGGCTGGTGAGAAGGAGAAGATGCCAGAGGAGCTGCTGCAGTTGGAGGGGAGGCTCGTGGAGGAGGCCATGGTGGGGCTGGATGGCACAACTGAGAATGATGAAAGAAAGGGAAATCAGGGCCCCTGGTGGCCTCCAGCGAGTAGGAAGCTCAGATCCCACCCTTTTGTGAAGACCCTGCTGAGGCATCCTTGGGCATGGACCATTCCTAAACTCTCAGGCCCTGTCCACATTCATCACTTGGTACTTAACACAGATGTGTTCCTGCAGCGGCAAGCAGAAACACCGGAAGGATGCCAAGGATTTGGAGGTAGATTTATTTACATGAAGGGGCACTGATTGGGAGATTATTTCCAGAACAGCAGGTCATGATCTCTGATGGTCTTGGGCTTCTATGGGACAGACAAGCAGGAAGTACAGAGGCAGAATGGCTTGTCAATTGGGGGCTGCATTCTACAATGTGCATTGGAGTGACTAGCTATTTCTAAGACACAGGAGCAACCAGAACTGCAACAGGAACTGTTACCTAGGTCACTAACAAACTGAAGTACACTGGCTGGTGGGCGGAGGGGAGATTTTCTATTATATTTCCTTCTATTGTGGGTTTTTTTTCTGTATTTTAGGGAAGGTCTACAGGGTGTTCAGGGTCTCACTACTAGATCGGACTCAGAGTGATTCTCCTGTTTACAGCCTCCCAAGTGCTGGAATTACAGGCAGGCCCCACCATACTCAGTCTCAATCACAGTCTCAGTGTGCCCCGGGGGCAGGGCTGGCACTGCAGGCCTGGGGATCAAAACCCCGACCCTTGTACCTGCTTGCAGATGCTTTAATATCCACTGAGCTATTTGGCCAGCCTCCTTTTATCATTGGTGATCAGTGAGTTGTGTGTTTATTGTGGGCTTGCTAAGTCCCTAGCATAGTAGTTCACTTTCCATCAGAGGAAATGATCTCTTCTAATCAACCCAAGGCAGCACACATGAAGGTGCTCACTGAGCACATTATGGAGCAGAACACAGATTCTACTCTCTCAGGCTTTCTAGGCTAGGACGTAAAAGTGCAATGCTTTCTAATCAGGAAAGTCCCTTTCCTTTGAGCCCACCAGAGTTCAATGAACAATGTGGGCAGCCTAATCCTTGGCCTACTAGCTTTAGCAATTTAGAGAAGTGGGAATCAAATTGGTCATAGGCAGCACCCACCATGGGGGAAATGACCCCTTGTTCTCAGCCCAAGGCACTACCCAACCAAAGCCCATTGAATGCTTTATGGAGCAGAACACAGCGCTGACATCTTCAGAGTTTTCACAAACATTTTCTAAACTGTACTTTTCTTTTAATGAGGCCAGCATTTTTATATATCTCTTAGGATTTGTAAATGTGAAAATACACTCAATAATAACACCCATTTAAATTGCAAAATTCCTGCACTGGAGGTTTGATTTTTAAATATTCGTAGACTTGAAATCCTGCTGGTTCACTGAGGAAGGCAATTAATCTCATTGGCAAATGTGATCATTATGTGTATTTAGAGGTGGGGGGCTTGAGGGGGTGCTTAACAGAGAAAGGCGTGAAATATAGCCAAGCGGCTCCATTTGTTATAACGTTATTAGTTATCAGCCACCATACCAGAAAGTGTGTTCACCAGTAGAATGTCTTGTTCTATTTTTTATTCAGTTGGAATTTTTCAACATGAATGGTTTATGAATAATTAAATATTACAGAGGCAAAAATTCAAATCAGCTGGGCTTTGTGTTTATTGTTTTATTTGCATTTATGCAGATAAAACCGTCCCATCTGAGAGCCTATTTGAGAATTTAATACTATATTTGTGAGCACTGAGGAAATCAATTAATGGAAATTAAATGTTCGGAGTTTCGCAGGCCGACAGATGCAATCTCAGGCTGAGGTCTCTGGGTAGGTGTCTGTACAGGCTTAAAAGGGGAGCCCGTCCAAGCCCCTAAATTGAATTGCTACCATATAGCAATTAGTTATTGATTTAATTAAGAGTGCCACCTTTTAATTTTCAGGTCATGATTGAAACATTTTCTGATTGAATAGATGGGAGAACACTGAAATGATAGAGCTATGAGAGACGATCTCTCAATAAATCAGGATCTAATGTGAAACTGACCCTAAACACTGACTCTCAAGCAGATAGAAAATGATAGATGCAGATTATTTGTGGAACTTCAGTTGTTCAACAATCTGCTGCTTCCGAACAAAGAAAAAATAAAAGTTTAGCAAGCCCCGAGTGTGAAGGGCATGCACAAGGCAAGCAGCTCTGTATGTGCTTTCAGACATAACTCTTAAAAGCCAAAGTTGACATTTGAAAAACTTTGCACATTTCACATCTGCACTATGGAAGACAGCATCATTGTTAAAATATTTTCAGCTAAAGCTAGTTTTTAAAAATCATGAATATTCTTTCACTGAACAGCAATCTTCTGATTTCCTGCAAATGTCTATGAGTTTGGCCGCATTTCACCTCTCTGGAGTTCCTCACTCTCCAAAATGAACTTGGTTACATACGGAAAAGTTCACAATGGGAAGTTAAAAGATTGTGAGAACACAACTCACAACATCTTATAGAGAGATGCTCGTCCGCTGAAGTTCTTTAGATGTGTCTTATACATGAGATGCCAACTTGCTGGCCTTCCTTAGATATCCTCTGTGTGTACCAGAGCACACCCTTTTAGCTTAACTTCTTTAATACGAGGACGAGCCACCAAAGAATATTTGTAGCGTATGTTTTATTTTGCCAATGTTTTGGAAAAACAGAATTAAAATAATATTCTAAAGAACACTCTAAACATAAAGAAAAACCTAAGCATTAAAAAGTAAATGAGGGCCGGGGAGATAGCTCAGTAGAATAAGCGCTTGCCTGGCAAGCGCAAGGGCCTGAGTTCAATCCCCAGTTCCACAAAAAAAAAAAAAAAAAAAAAGTAAATGAAAGGGCCAGCCAAATAGCTCAGCAGATTAAAGCACCTGCAAGCAGGCACAGGAGCTGGGGCTTTGATACCCAGGGTGCACTGAGACTGCAATTGAGATTGGGCATGGTAGCATGTGCCTGTAATCCCAGCTCTTGGGAGGCTGTAAACAGGCAAATCACTATGAGTCCAATCTAGTAGTGAGACCCTAAACACCCTGTAGACCCTGCCCTAAAATGTAAAAAAATTTTTAAAAAAGTAAATGAAATTCCTTGATGGGAGATTGTAAGTTTTAGGCTGTGGTCACTTCACCGTAGCACAGCAATTTATTATCTGTAAGTCCCTGTGATTGGGACTCAGGTTTCTGAACTTTTCCTCATGTGCCAGGCCTCAGAGCAAGCTCACAGTGAACATTATCATATCCACATCTCACAGCAATGGCTGGTGGGCGTGCTAGCATGGGTGAGAACACTGAAGCTTGGGTGGGGACAAACTTGTCTGAGCTTCCAACTAGTAAGTGGTAGAAGTTGACGTGGAATCTGCTCCATCTGACTCTATGAATGGTGTGTGGCACGACAACCTGGGCCTGGCTCTGGTTCCAACAAAGTTCTGACTGTTGGGACAATGCTGCAGGTGCAAGGGAAGCTAGGAGCTCAGAGGTCACCACCACATTAGGAGCCCAACGGGGGCAGTGCCCTGCAGGATGGCGGCCCTCAGACAGAGGAGCCCTGAGGGTAGGCCCCACCGTGACAGGTTCTCCCAGGGAAAGTGGGAAGGTCACAGACCACACTTTTACTTACTGGCATAGGGTGAGTTGGCAGCTGAGCCATTGAGGAAAGTTGGGGAGCCGCCCAGGTTGGACATGGCAGCAGAGCCGTACCCATTCATGCTTGTAGTAACAGAGTTATAGTTGGCCTGCTGGGGGGTAGAGCTCGGCACGTACCCGTGGGGTGACACGCTGCTTGAGTTGCGGGTGAAACCTAAGGATGAGGGTGAAACCAAGGGTGAGGGTGGCGTGTCTCAGGGGTGATCCTGGGAGACTTGGGCCCAGGAAGGACTGTTTCTTGCTCCTTACCTCCAACCCAGAGGGAAGGGGCTGGGTGATTCATGTGCATGGTTGGTGGTGCTAGGTCTGTGATTAAATGGGAAGTGAGCAAAAGACACATTTCTTAAGAGATCATAAATACTTAGCCGGGGCATGAGAAGTGGCAAGGCACAGCCTATAAATTATTATTTTGCAGCAGAAATAAATCCCAATCCAAGAGATGTACCCTGCAGTTAACAGGTTCCCCTTCCTGAGTGAGAGAGATGTGCTATGGACCCTCAGCACTTTAATTCCAACCTTCTTTGGGATCTGTCATCATGGTTTACAGTAAAAAGTCACATGTCAAAAAGGAAAAATGCATGCATCCTTCCTAGTCCCCATGCCAGATTTCCAGGGATGAAAACTGGAAACAAAATCCTATTCTAATATCTCATACATGCAAGCTAGAAATTTTCCTGTTGGGAAGAAAATCTTTTTTTTAAATAACAAACACTGTTTTATGTCAAGGTGGAGCATGAGGTTGGGATGCATCAGGAAAACACGGGAAGGATGAGACGAGCAGGCGCCTGACCCTGGTTGGTGGCTTGCGATGCCTCCGAGACATTCACAGCCAGCTGTCCACTGAACGAATTCACACCCATCATCCCTGCATGCACCGAGGTGTTGGCGAGGGCCGGGAGCTGGTTATGGTTGCGAGGGACACTGTAGAGGGCCTCTGCAATGTCAGCTGCTCTCTTCAGAATAATCTCCTGAAAAATCAAAGGAATAGCCCCTTTAGCTACCCCCAGCCGGGTGATTACTTCCACCAGGACCACTTTGCAGGTGTCTGTATAAGCCGGTACTACGCTTAGGCTCTCAGAAACGGGGTTCGTGCCTGTATCTCTGGAGACAAAGCTGTGAAGTCAATCCATCACAGTGCCGTGTCACCAATAGGGAAACTGAGGCCCAGAAAGGCAAAGAACTCATTTAGGAATGCTCATTATTTAAGGACGGAGCTGAATGCATAACACTGTTTGGCTGACTTTGAAAATTCACTGTGATTAGTAAATAGTAGCAGCACGGGCTTTTCCTTCCCCATGAATAGCACACGGGAACTCTGAAGTTATTGAATTGGAGAAGAAAAGGAGGGATGGGGAGGAGGAAAAAGGAGAGGAGAGGGGAAGGGGGAGAGAGAGAGAGACAGACAGACAGACACAGAGAGTCTCTCTCTCTCTCTCTCTCTCTCTCTCTGTGTGTGTGTGTGTGTGTGTGTGTGTGTGTGTGTGTGTGACTCATGTTCCCTTGAGCTAGGGTCCTGAGTTTTAGTAGGATTCTATGTGTGTCCTAAACTCAGGAGATATGCAAAAAGATGGGAGGGTTTGTCATACTCAGTTTCCTGAGCAAGTTGAGTTCTATACATGGAGTTGCTCTATGACAAAGAAGCAGACAGTTACATTCACTTCTCATTATACATTTTAGGAGAAGAAATTAAACCCTTTTCTTCTAAATTTGCTTGAAAACCTAAGAGAAGTAAAATAAAGCGTCAGGAACTCTCTTTTTCAATTATGAAGTACATTCCCAGTAGAGATTAGTTTTAAGTAGAGTACTTTTTCTGGTAAAGGAAAATGATTCAATAGAAATGGCAATAAAAGATTTACAAAAGAGGGAAGGATTGAACAGCCTTGCAACATGCCATATTTGAATTACTTACGCTCTTAACTCATGCGCATGGCTTTTATGTGTTTTATACTTTCTCATAGAACAAGAAGTCTGAGATGTTGCATTGCATGAGGAAGTGCACAGAGCTGAGAGCGCAGAGAGAGCTCACCTGGTTGTTGTGAGGCATCCCATAGAGGGCTTCCACCAGATCTGCGGCCCTTTTGAGTATCACTTCCTGTTGCGAGAAAACCAGACACAGTGCTCTGAGTGAAGGCAGATTGTCATTATCTCTTCACATGATTGCGTTCCACTTTTTCTGGCCATACTTTGCCGAAGCACATCTATAAAAGCGGCAGCTTGGGGGATCCCTGGAATGGTGCTAAATCACCAATTTATCCTTGTTCACACACACATTTAATCGAGTCAAAAGGTGAGCATCATTGGTACTGCAGGATGAAATACAGCACGCAGTAGTCTGCTATAGGCATGATGAAGCGCTCCTATGTTTATTGCTAAATACAATTCCGAGGTCATTTACTAGATTACTACAATCGATGCCATTCACTGCATGTTATGAATCTGTAAGATGTGTTTATTTTGCACTTAATTGCTTATTCCAAGAACCATGACCTTATCAGCCAGGTCAGTTTCAAGGAAATTCCAGTCAATCTTGAGCTACTAGAAGCATGTAGCATTAAACTTCTTTTGTTTATCTCTCTGGTGTGGCAGAGCCGTGATATAGCAGGTGCTACTGTATCACACTCACTAGAAATTCTCTGGTCTCAGAAGCCACGCACCTCCCATATCAATTTTTCATGACTGAGAACACCTGTTTCTTTTATAGCAATTCCTTGCAATTTCAGTATTGTTATTTTCCTTATTTTCCCACTCCTTCTAATCCTAGACTAACTCTCTGCTGCTTATTCTGTACATTTGGTTAGTGTACCTCCACACTTAGCTTCTACAGTTTTAATAACATGGGGTAGGCTACAAAAACATATGCGCTGGTAAGATTTTTGAGATTATAATTACTTTTTTATTTTTAAAGGGAATACAGAAATAGTAAAAAAAAAAAAAATAGAAATGATCCAGAATTTCATTAAACAGAATGATAGGACTTCACATTGCATATTGTTGTCTTCAAATTAGTTGTTCAGATTACCACATGTAAGATACAAGATTGGTCAAAAGAGTATAAAAAGTTAAAAAGAGAGAAAAACAATTTAAGCATTAATGCTCCTAACAAAAACAAATCATCCTTACTTCTTCTTTTTTTTTTTTTTTTTCCCTAATTATCTGAAGAGTTATTTATACTGGAATGTTCAAAGGCTTACAACTTAAGCTTCACACACGTCCAAATGAAAGTATAGCAGAGAATCAAACCCGAGGGTAGGTATAATGATCAGAGGCGATTTTCAGGAAGATTTGTTTACTATTCCTTGCTGTTGGGAAAGTTTGAAACAAAAGTTTAACTTTATATATTTTACACAATAAAGTTCTGCATGCAGAAGCAGCGCTATTCAATTTTCATATACAGCAGACGCTGATCAGAAAATAGGGATATAATTGCATCCATTTTGCTGTCACCATAGCCTCTTCAAAACTCCTTGAACAACTCTCGAAATGACAAGCTTTTAGATACATATTAGCATTTTTCAATTTTAAATCCTCTATAATATAAGACGAAACAGTTGTCATACTGCACGAACTACTTATGACATATATAATGTCCTAAATTTAAAAATGAGATAGAGGGGTTTTTAGTTCTCAATAAACATTTATGCTTGCCTTATGCTGCCAGGGCCTTTATAAAACAATTCAGTTATTTTTCATGTAGAGAGTGAAAGGCATTATAGAACCAGCTGAGTGTGAACCAATATGTCTGAAATCATTTCTTTACTTCTTAATGCAACCTGCAAGATAATTTACCACTTTTTGTTGTAGCAGTCTGACCACAGCAGTTAATGATTTACTACGATGTGGGTGTGCTAAACCCTATTCTCAGATCAAATTCAGCTTGGGCCATTTTCACTAAAACCTCACGGCTTTATCTGGCTCTTAGGAAAGATTAAAACAAAACAGGATCAAGTTTATTTGCTAAGATTTGACTTCCCTGAGTCTATGCTCATTTATTTCCTTAAATAAATGTCAACACTGGCACAGGTCTCTTCTTTGTTAAAAACGCAGGAAGAGGCACCAAAACATCGCACTTAGGAAGTTCCCTCCTGCAACACTATCATCAGGAATTTACAATGGTCCTTGACATTTTAATAAATTTCACAGAACAAAGGAAGATGGAAATTCAAAATTAACTCAAAGATCTTTGAAGTTGGATAATCCCAGAAAGTTCCATCCTTCTGTGTACAGAATATGTTTTTGTCTTCTATGTTATTGGTAATAAAGATTTGATGATGTAGTTAGCCAGGTACCAGGGGATGGTCACTGTTTGCTCCTATAGAGTGAGGCACATGAATCTTGTCTCCCTGAGTTGCAGCTTTCTCTGACCTTCTCCCATGTTGCCTTTTGTGACCCGTGGCAGTGGGACTCATCTTGCTGCGACACAGCACTGCTGGTGTGCCATCACCATAGCCTTGCTTCCGGCCAGTGCTCTTGAAATGAGAGTGAACTTGGGCCTCTTGTCCTGGAAGCTGTCCTCTTACATGACATCGCGCCCATTTCAAAATGCCCTTCACTACAGTGTGCTGCCTTTGCGGTTCGAGGCAGCCTCATATTTGGCACTGACAATGGCTAGTTATTTGTGCAAATGGGAAGAAAGGATATTTCTGGGTCCTCCATGAGTTAGTGCGACAACCTGCAAGGTGCTTGGATTTCGGTGACCAGAAAATTGCTCTCACCTCCGTGTCACTGCGTTCCCAGTGAACTAGCCCCCAAGCGTGTTTGTGTTGGGGATCTAATATATTGCCTTTCAATCAGAGCTGAGAGCCACTGAACACACAGACAGAACATGACAAGCAGGTCAGGAAAGCAATAAAGATTTTACAGAGCTGTCCAAGGTGCTAAATTTACTCAATAATGGGTTTGGCACCATAGTGTTAACCTCTCATTTACTACCAGTTTGAGGGACTAAATTGAAGCAGCTGACTTCATTTACCTTGAAATGTATATTTTATGACATTATGTAAGTAGATTGAAAGGGCACTGCAGTTTTAACAATTTAAAGGCTAAAGCATGTTTAAGATGAAACTTGAATATTTATTGTATATTGCACTTAAAGTATATAGAATGTTAAAATGTATTGATTAAATTTGTAAAAGGCATTATAAAAATGACAGGCAGTATAAAAGATATATTGCTTTTAAAATCAAATTGATAGTGTATGCTATCTCTTCTGTGGTCACAAGTGTAATTTTTTTGCAGTTTTATATGGTAATTTGAAAAATCTGTAATTTTCACATTAAGAAATGATTGAACCTAGGATGTGAAAAAAAAAAAAAAAGAAATTTCCCATAAGGGGAAGAACTAGATATTTCACACAGATTTTTGTCTATAAAATTCTTTCCTAAAGTACTATTTTTTGAGACATTAGGAGGAAGCATAGGATAAGGGTCTCTTGATTCTAATATTCAATTTTAGTAATTCTAAAAAGAAAGAGCATTTGGTATTACTAATATCTAATTTTTCAAGGCATTTATTTGTCAGGAGAGATTTTGTCTTCTTCATAATATTTAAAATGTCTCCCCACTTGCAGTTTCAAACATAAATGTAGAGATCAGACTCTTACAAGATAATTAATTCTATCCTTGGATTTTTTTTTTTTAAATCCCATTTGGGGATTATGAGGACAAATACCAGCATCCTAAATATTTAAAAGCCTCTGGTTCTCCTTAAAAAGACAATGTTTGTTCTCTAATCTACACCCTGAATCAGACTATTACTGTTCTTCTTGCGGCTTTACATCTTCTCTCTCAAAGAAACATAAAATGTGGAGTCTTTAAAAGTAACTTTCTATCAATCTATTTCCTCTCACGATCAAAATTTGGTCTTAGCTAATTTGCAAGGACCATCAGTTGCTGATTACAGGAGTGGGGAAATGAATTTGTATTCTAAATCTATTTAGAGTTGACAAAAACACTGGGGAGACTCAATGAGCAGCAGGGTTCCAAGAAATAGTTCGAATGTAATTCTTGTTTGTTTCACTTAGGACTCAGAACCATTACAATAAAAATGCTAAATGGACTACAGATACAAACAGAAGATTCAGGCTTACTTTCCATGTTGAAAACCAACCACTCGGTGAATAATTCTCAAACTCCTTTCTGCCCCAGTTATCACGTGACTAGTACTCTCCATCAACTTTAAGACTCATTAACTTTGTAGCGCTTAAGTTCAGTGGGGGTCCCACACTCTGATCCTCTGGTTCTGCTGCTTCATTTAGTCTCTTCTGCATCTGAGTAAGTGCCCTCTAGTTTGGGCTTGATACCACCTCCCCTGGCCGAGAAGCAAAGGGTCTGGCTCCTTCCTACCTCTCTGCCCTCACTCCTTTGGCATTCCTTCTGCCGATGTTCTTCTCTGGATCAACCATGTGAATTTCCCTTCACTCTTCTGAAGCTCAGTACTAAAGGGAGTGGTATAGTGATGGAAGACAGAGCTATCATTTACTGAAAATATGAACTCATTTAGTCCTTACTGAGAGCCTCTTACTGTACTGTTCTTATGACCATTTGGCACAGCAGGAAACTGAGTCTAAGGTCAGCAGACTTCCCCTGAGTGTACACAGCTGATCAATAGCTAAGGAGGGATTCAACCCCAGGGGTGTCAGCTGTAAGATCCTGAGCTCTTGGTAGATACGCTCTTCTATCAAGAATATTCCAGCTTTACTGGCACCCAAGCTCCTAAGCACTCTCATTTTTCCAGAAAATAGTGTTGACAGTGTACACCAAGCATAGAACAAAGTACTGATGGTCATTTAGTGCTGTTACAAAGGATGTAATTCTTCATTCCCCACGGCTAGACTCCAGACTCTCTTCGGGGCCATGGCTACATTTCAATCTCTCTCTCCAAGCCCCTGACACAATCAGCTAATCCAGGCCTTGAGAAATTCCTGCTGAAGAGTTTATTCTCAGATAATATAGCTAATTTTAAGAAATGCAATGATGGTTAATATGATGACATGACAGTTGTACATTTGGTATGGTTTATAAAAGCAGACTTAAATTTGGTGTTCCATTTGGCCACAGGCTTTTTAATCCCATATATAAATTCTCAAAGGTCAAG